GGAATTGCGTCAAGAGCTCTGTTTCTTAGCCATAGTACTAGATAACAGCTTTTTCCTAGAACTCCCGCAAGCTCAGTTGGTCCAACTATCAAACCTGAAAATAGAGAACTATTCTCTACTTACCCTTGTTTGCCACTTTTTGAAAAGGACACCACTCCTAATCAAGTTTCACGCTAACTCTTCTTAACAAAAAATCCTTTTGTTAAAAAACGCAACACATCAGTGTTAAGCACCACCCTGAATACTGTTCATTTGTCATCTGAGACTCAGCATCTACCTCCTCTTAAAACAAAACAGTTTACTGCACAAGAGAGACAAAATGAAGCCCAGGCCTGAAGTAAGACACACATAACAGAAAGAAAAACTTTCTTAGAAGGAATGAATGAAAGAGGAGCACAAAACAGGGGAAGAGAGAAAAGGGATGCCAGTAAACATATATATGATCATTTTTAGGGCTATATTAAGTTATATCCGCGTTGCTCCTCTCCTATAGGAGGCTGGAGGGTTTTGTGGCTATTCTCACCTTTAAGTGGAAGCTCTTACACAGTGATTCGTGCTGCACCCAAACCAGCCTTCCATGTTCTTCAACCTAGAACTTCTCCTGCCTGCACTTTTTTTCCTGTTTGTTTTATCTTAAATACCTAGAACTTCTCCTGCCTGCACTTTTTTCCTGTTTAAGATCAGCTGTAGCAATCTGTACTTTCCATTTCTCTGTACTTTCCAAGACCATTGTATTTAGCTTTCTTCATTTGCTGTTTTCTATTATTTCTGATGCTGTACTAATGGTTGTAATTGCAAAGGAAGCAGCAGCAAAATAATGATTATTCTGAAAATGTGACCAGGGAAAGGCAAGGGCACACATATAATTGTATTTCCCACTATTCTTCCAAAGGGAGATTTCTGAAAAGTCTTGTGCATAGTCAGCAATTCCCTCCTGCATACTTTACCCATTACCTGAAATAAGCACCAGTCTTGACATGACACTGACACACACCAGGCTCTCTGTACCAGGGCATGGATGGAGGGGGGGAAAGACTCTTTTATCACCCTGGCTGACAGTGCAAATAATCTATAAAGTGTTTGCTATTTTGCATTTAGAGATTTCGAGGTAAGCGCCCTAATATCCCAAGGGCTTGGAGTTTTTGCATTTTCCCTTTTCTTAAAGGGAAGGAAAAAGAGATGGTTTTGCTGTAAGTAGACGTTTAAGGGAAGAAACATTATTAAAATGCAACAAGGCACGGGAGGGAGGCAGGGAGGGGAAAAAAGAAATACACCCGCAGGTGTGTTGGTGTCTCCCCGCATTACACTCGACATATTATGCCCCCGGGGGGATGACAAACAACAGCTGGGGTGCAAACGGACAGCGCGTGTGCTTGTCTGCCGGAGAAACAAACTATCTAGCCTTGAGGGTCAAAATGGGGGTGGGGGGAGGTTGTCATGGGGCGGGTTGGGGTGAGGTGGGCGACGGGTGGGCAAAGGTCTCCAGCGCCCACGGGGCGGCAGAGACGGCGAGACAATGAGCCAGTCAAAATGGGAGAGAAGGAACGCGAGGCAGGGAAAGGGCGAGAGGGAATGAAGGGTGCCTGGAACCCCTGAACGACGACGACTCCCCCTCCCCAAAAAACGCGCAGCACTCACCGCCGCCGGAGCCGCCGCCGCCCCCCCCCCAAGGATCAGCCAGCCGCCGCAGGCG